TCAGACGTGTGCTCTTCCGATCTCCCCAAAACCCCAAAACCCCAAAACCCCTCAGCTTTAAATATAGGTCTAATAGATCTTTTTAGATTTTCAATAAAAATTAATTATTAAATTATATTAGCAGCCTATTAATGAGTTCTCAGAAAACATTATATAGCGAAAGATTGCAAAAAACTAGGAAGAAATCTTAGCATTCCTAGATTGATGAGGAACCCTATGAAAGTGACTAACTAGGTTAAACAAAGACTAAATTCGGAGTTGTAACTCCAAAAACAGATGCATAGTATTAGAAATATGCATAAAACATTAATTAACTACCAGAAATGCCAGAGGCAGCAAAAAGCATAGCGAAACAATACATGGAAAATCATATAACCGCTAATGATTTCAAGAAATATGAAAACTTAGGGGCTAAATTGATCAAGGGAATAAGATCAATGAATAACCCCAATATGAATTCTAGGAACTAAGAGACTAACGTGAACAGATCTTTTAGCATGAAATCTTTGAGCAATAATCTTAGTTAAAAGAAAATAGAAAATTTTAATATTGCTGAAGAGGAACCTTAGCCGAAAATGACTGCTAGAATCAAGGAAATAACCACTGATCATTTTGGAAGTCATGAGAAATTCAATCCAAAAAAGACGTTTTAGTAGTAAAATTCTACAAATAGCTTAAGTAATTCCACAAACTATGTCAATATTGGATCTATCAAAGGCTTTTCAAAAAATATCATAATAAATTCTCAATCAACTAATAACGCTCTGCTTAACTCAAGTAGCACAGGATAAATCACAAAGTTATCACCCTTACCTTAGAAATATCATTAGCATCTACCAAATATCATTAAGAATAAAATAAGTGAAGCTGCTTCTACCTCATTTTAATTCAATTAGCCTCCATCAGTGGCAGTGGGAGAGAAAAGCAAAAAAGAGATTAAAAATCTTGAACTTTTACAGAGTTAAATGAGGTAGGATGTTTCATATCTTAATGATTACAAGCATTAAACTCAATCTAATTAGGCACTCAACTAGCCTAACATATTGACTACAGGTAACTAAGGATAGGACCAATTACTACAGGTAACTTTGGGTCTGAAAAATATTGGGAAATCTTTAATTCATTTACCTTAGAACATAGAAGAACTTAGCTAAATGCTCATTGCCTATGAAAATATGAATAAAAATACTTAAAATAAAGAAGATCTAAGATATGAAAAAGAAGAATAATACTATGATAGCTACCTTATGGATAATTTTTCTAATATAAATACTGAAATAGATGGAAGTGATATTGGTTTTAAACTGCCAGGCATTCAACTTAAGTAGCATATGAGTGCGAGTGGATTCTAAAGTAAATTTCTGGCAAACTAATCTCAATAACTTAAATCACAACAACTTGCATAACCTTTCAACATATCTGATAAGAAGTGATCAATTGATCTAATGAACTTAGAAAGATAGCCACCGATAGGAAGTTCAATGCCAGATAAGCTAACCATGCTAAATAACTAGATAATGTCTAAATTTGGAGAAACATTAATGAATGATTAAGCTTTATAACTAAATTCAAAGGAAATGACCTTAGACTCTTCTAAAAAAAGATAAAAGAAAGTAGGAGATTTAGATTCAGGCAAGAGAGATCTCACTCCTAAGAAATTAGAAAATTAAAAAAAAAAGCAGGAAAGAGAACAAGCAAAATCAATTGAATTTCTGTTGGGACTGACATCTAGCAAATTAGGGCATCACGGCCATCGAAATTCATGGATGAATGAAGGAAGATCTGCTGATAGATACAGGATTAATAAAGATGAGGATGACATTAACACACTGGCTATTTCTCCGATCAATATTAAAACTCAAAAATAGATTCAAAATAAAACTTTGATTACTCAAATTGTGTAAAGTAATAGTATCTCAAATTTTGGCAATCCAACTTCAAGATAAGATGCAGTTTTATTAATTATCTGGTTTGAAAAGATACTACTTCTTATTTAGCAAGAATATTAAAATTCAACTTAAGATGAGGAAAGAGTAAATTAGTTTAAATTACTTCAACTAGTTATGAATATATGTATAAAGGAATTATGCAGGTAGGTATCAGTTTAATGCAGTGAGAGGGGTTTAATAATTTAGAAAGTCTTTTCTTCTTATGCTAAACTGATCGAAATGATTCACGCCGAGCATAAATAGAAAAAATGGAAGTTAAAAAAGGATTTAACTGAGAAATTGGACAAATATATCTAAATCTAAGATGAATAAGTTAGAAATCTTCAATATAAAATCAATGAGTTGTAAACTAACGAATAAAGGCTTAAAGCTGACCTTGAAGAATGTGTTACTAGAATATCCCAATAGTCAATAATAATGAAAAAATTTAAGAGAAAAACTTATAATGCTCAAAAAGATTATGAGGTTGCTTAGAGGAAGCTTAAGTACTTAGAATAAGAAAAATAAGATTTAATTAAAAAGGTATAAGATTTAAGCGATAAATTAGGAGAAGAATTTAGTGAGATAGATGATACGGATAGAAAGCGATTATATTAAAAAATTGATGAAGAGGATAATCTAATAGCTTAGAAGAACAACGACATCATCGATGAGTTCTATGACATGGATAGAATTCCTGATAAATAAATTATAAAGGAAGAGGATGTAGGGACAGATCAAAGAGACTTTGATGAATACTTGAGAAAAATAGGGGAAGAAAGAAGTAAGGTTGCAGAGATATAAACTGATAGAATATTAAGGAAGCATGCAAAGATTGGAGTAGTTCCTGAAAAACTTGGAATATTGAGAGATAAGGAAACATATATAGATGTGAGGATGTTTTAAAACTAACCTAAAACCAGCAATCAAATTTAATTCAGTGCAAATGATATCATAAGTCAAGTATTTTCACATCATGAATAGAATCTTCAAGAAGATGAATCTGAAATAATGTTATCAAATTAGGATAATTCTGAAAATGAGTCTGATGATCTCCTTGATTTAGCAGACTAAAATTCTAATGATGATGCCTTTGGACTAGATAAGATAAATGAACTTAATTAGAGACCTGCAACAAGATAAGAAAAATTGATGAATGAAAATCTAAACATAATGAGTGAATTAGACTAAGCTGAATTGAGAAATTTACCATAGTATGGTACTTAGAAAGCAAATGACATTATTGATGGTTCTATCCTTAAATAAGAGAAAAAAGCTGCTGATGTTTCACTCTAAATAGATAGTCCAGAGAAAAAACACAATCAAAAGCAAAAGAAAAAGACTTAAACTTTGATGTAAATGTATGCAGAACGAATTAAAAAAAGACTTAAAGATTTACTAAACTCTGAGGAAATCTAAAGACTTGAACAGAATCATCCATAATTCACTCAAAATCTGAAGAATAACTTGATTAATACAAGTAAGGAGGTAAAACAAATGGATAAGGAAATCACTCGGAAAGATAATCAAGTTAGGTATTAACTGAAACAAAATAAAAATAAGGAAAAAGCTTTAAAATCAAATGAAATTAGGCTAGACATGCTTGAACTAGACAACTACAACTTCAGAGAACAAATAAATGAAATAATTAGGTAAGTATATATTAATTCGTCTCATTAATTGCTTAGAAATTATGAAGAATATGAATCACTGATTCAAGAATTACTTAAACTACTACAAAGAGATTCAATGGGTAAGATTACTATAGAAGAAATGAAAAACAGGCTTAATGGATTGATTGATAAGATAATTGCAGCTAAAAATAAAGCCTCTCTTTCAATTCTAGATGATGAATTTTTAAAATCTCAAGAAGATGTTCTTTCTCTTGATAACAATAGCCCAGATACTAGTATGATCCAGCAATAATAAAACATAAACAAAGATATCGAGGTGAAATAGTTAGATTCAAACAAGAATGCTGATAATTTCAGTAAATTTGATTATATAATGAATTTTACTTAGGCTCAATTAAGAACTTAGATGGTATATTGCTAATGTCTAGCTAGAAAAATTTTAAGCAAAGTAGTGCAAACATGAGTTTACCATAAACTTCTTAAGAGTAATAATACTTCAATTAATCTAAAACTTCTAGGGCACGAAGAAAAAGAGCTATAACGAGATTTTAGTAATTTAACTTTGGTAAAAAGAGAAAGGCCCCGAGTCGCAAACATGCTTAGCATCCTTCAATGGCTTTATTGAAAAAAATGGTAGATAAAAAGCCTGGTAAAATTAAGGATATCATGCCAAGAAAGATGATGTTAAGAGTTATTTACTCAGTATATCAAGAAAGAGGATATCAAGCCAATAACACAAATGTCCAAGTGATCAACAATTAAACTGGATATAATGATAAGAACTCTACATTAAACTTATTTAATCAAAATAATAATGCTCAGACTAGTAATCTTCTTGAATGGATTTATGATAGCTTTATGCAGAAGTATGGACTTAAAAATGTTGCTGAAAAAAAGTTTATTCAATTGATAGGATCCTGCATTTTACAAAAAGAATCACATCCTAGAATAAGATTATTTGCGAGATTCCTTGAGGTTTATGATGAACTCCCAGCTGCTGAGTATAATAGATATCTTGAGATGGTGGAGCTGTTCAATCAATAAATTTTGAATTTCAAAATCGATGAGGATGCTGAAATCACTCTCTTACCTTTTGTAAGCATATTTATCAGTTTATTTAATTTTAGAATCGAGCGATTGACTACTATAAGCTTAAGTTTGAGACGAAATTCATTTCAAATATCTTCCATAAGCGTCTTTATAAGGTAAAGACTATAATGATAACAAAAATATAGATAGAGGAGATGAAGATAATGGTAGATGAATAGAAAAACATAAGACATTTGAAAGGTGTTAAAGAGGCTGTTGATTTCGATAGATTTGCTGAATATGTAATTGACACTTACAATTTCATAAGGGAGGAGAAAGAAAATTAAATCAGAGACATCTATCTTGCAGTAGATGTAAGAATATTAGGCAATTTAACCGACATTAGGTAAATAATGATGGCTATATGTCATTGAGTGAATTTACCATGCTAATGAAGACAGTCCACTTCAAAACATCACAGGAAATTAAGAGGCTGTTCAATGAATATGGATCTATCGATTAAGATCCTTCAAACATGGAATTGAACCTTATGAACCTTGAGCAGTTTACCTAGCTTTGCCTAGATAAGGACTATTTCAGTCCAAAGGTTCAGCATTTGTTCTGCCAATCATCAGTAAGATTATTATGTAATATTATTAGAATGTTGAGGAGGACTTCAGAGATCTCTTGATGAAAATGCCAGATGTAATAGAAAACTTCAAGAATAGATTGCTTGCTACAAATTTGTATAATGACCCAGAATGTGTGGAATTACTTGAGAATTTCTAGAATTGCATGAGATATCCATTCTCTGAGAGAGTTGGATGGTTGTGCTACAGGACAGTTGACGAAACCCTGAAACGACTTTATTTGAAAAAGAGCTCTGAGATGTTTATGCCGGTTGATATTAGAGCATTTGGGATGAAACTCTAACCTGCATCACATCTCTTAAACTAATTGCCCCTATATCTCTATGATACTCTTTGAGAATGATTATAGAGTTTAACAATTGTAGTCAATCTAAACTTCAGTTGACTACATTTACTGCTATTAAAAGCTTTTAATTTTGTTTTTTTACTGACATGATATGCATTTTGGGGTTTTGGGGTTTTGGGGTTTTGGGG